CCGGCAATGGGATTGCAACCCTCAGTGTTGCTCCCACGCCTCGCTCAGCCAGTGAGCGGGAGATCACTGTGGGAGATGTATGTGGGATCCGAACCCTCGGGCGGGAGCGCCGCCGCGCTTCCCAAGCGGCGCACTATCCAGTGCGCCACCAGGCCGGCCCCCCCAAAAATTGAGCGTTTTTTAAGAAAGGAAATTAACCAAGCCTACAAGGACTGCAACCCTATGACAAAAGTTTCCTAAATTTTTGATGTCTAAAGAACTGATCCTATTTGCATATGGTTTGCTTGTATTAGAATGTTACCCCCCCTGGGCCGGCCCGTGGCTCACTCGGGAGAGTGCGGTGCTGATAACACCAAGGCCCCGGGTTCGGATCCCATATAGGGATGGCCGGTTTGCTCACTGGCTGAGCGTGGTGCTGACAACACCAAGTCAAGGGTTAAGATCCCCTTACCGGTCATCTTTAAAAAAAAAAAAAAAAAAGAATGTTACCCCCCCCAAAAAGATTAAAATTCAAGGAAGTCTTCACTGGGTCCAGTCTCTAAACCTATTCCCCTCCCAAACCAATCTAACCCCCATCTCCCTAATCCCCACCCCACAAAATTTTGCCTCTCTCATCGAATCAGCTTAAACTGAATATGAGTCTCATTGGGGCCTTCCCACCCTCACCTGTGGATCAACAAGCCAGCCATGGTACAGAGGTATGCCTAGTAAGTCAAAGACACTGCACTCAGGTGTATACTCAAAATCAGAGACGCCTGTGAATCGCACATTGACATCCAGACCTGTGGCCAGTTTAGGCAGCACTGTCATTGCATCATCCACATTCTGGGGTAGAAAATAAAATGATGGGGGAAAAAAAAAAAAAGAAAATGATGGATATTCTAGCCTCCTCTCCCACCACTCCTCTCCCACCTCCAGAAATAAAAAATTAATCTTGTTGCTTTTCTTCCTTGATTCTCTTATGAGCCATTTCATTCCTCCCTTGACTCAACCCTTCTTTATCTTATACAAATGAACATATTTTCTCAGACAAAAATATACTCTTCTCCTCCTCCTGTAGAGAGAAATCATGGTTCAAGGAACCCTCTTAAGAAGCAGCAAAAGGGCTTCTCTTCATAGCTCTGGGTATCCCCTTACGAACCTGCAAACCCCTATGTGCAGACCTTTATCTCACCTGCTGAAAATTAAGCTGAAGTCCCTCTGACTTCTCCTGAGGCTTGATGGACAGGAGGCAGTTTCCTACAAGATAGGATCCCTTATCAGCTTACCCCACAATTGTCCCCAAAGCTCTGCTTCGTCTTCTTCTGAAGAATGGGGTATTATCACAGGACTACAGATTTTCAGAGCTCAAAAGGACTTTAGAGCCTAAGCCAGACCCTTCATTTCTCAGAGGAAGAAACAGGCTCATAAAGGTGAAAGGGCCCCCCAAGGTCACATACAAAAGCTGAGGGCAGAACTAGTGTTACAATCCAGGACTCCTGACACCTTGAACTTTGCTATTCATTCTCCGGCCTTGCAAAGAAGCCCCATTGGACCCTTTCCCTCCCTGCCACATCAGAGCCCCAAATAGAGATCCTTCAATAATTTGGATCTGGCTGAGTAGATAGCTCTAGAACCCATTGGGTAATTCCCTTTCAAGGCCCAGTCACTCACCAAGATGGGCCATGAGCTCATCTGATGTGATCACTTCCTTCTGGGGGGGCAGCTTCACCTGGAGGCAGAGGGAGTGATCATGTGTGTGCTTTCCCTCACAGAACACTGAAGGAGAACCCCGTAGAAGGGGGGGTGTCCAGTGGTAGGATGGGGTGGAAAATAAAGCCTTGCAACTGGAGCAAGGAATGAACATGAAATACTGCAAGGCATTCCCATTTCTAGAGAGCAGGAGATACAGGAGTAGAACAGATCGTTTTTGGTTTTTTTCTTGCTTTCTTTTTAGGAACATCCTATCTCATTTGTTCAAGTTGAAGAAATGGGGAGAATAATCTGGAAAGTTTTGACTGTTTTGAGAAAATCAGGATGATCAAGGAGGTAGGTCAGGGAAGAGTACTTCCCAACATTTTCTGAGCCCCCATATGAACTCTCTCTTACCTTCCACTGAAGAAAGAGGATGTTCATGATGGCGAGGAGAGGGCAAGGGCCGTTAGAGCTCTGGGTGATGATGGGTGTCCGTTCTCCCTTCCAGGGGATCCACTTCACGCAGTAGAAATCTAGCTCAGGCTGCCGGGTCTTGGGGGACTGGGGAAGCTCCTGGGGCATGAAGCATGTCCCCATTGTCTCCACTTCAGGCGACATCCTATGGGCTGGCCCTGGTTGACTTGAGCTAGCTTCAGGTGGAGGGGACTCGAGGTTATCCCCATCCTGGGCAGGCAGCAAAGGTTGGTCTACTGGCTCCTGTTCTCCAGTTGCCCCATCAGCATCTTTGGCATTTTTGTCCTGAGGGTGCTCATCCGGTCCCAACAGGACCTCATGGTTTTCAGGGGTGACTGCTTCTGCAGTCATGGCCTTACCAGGGGCTGGATGCTCAGGCTGATGGTGCTCCATGGTTGGAAGGTAGTCAACCGAGGGGCACTGGAGGCATTTATTGATCTCAGAGACTTTCCTAAACCAGGCTTGGCATGCAAAAGAGGGACCTGTCCAATAAGAAGAAAATCATTGGGCTGGAAAGCAAATGGACCCAGAAAAGTCTTGGAAAAGGAATGCAGTGTGGAAGTGTGGCTAGTGTCTGTGTAGTCACTCCTGGCTATGGGTAGTAGGTGTCTTTCTCAGCTTGTATAAACAGATGGGCCCCGGGCTGAGCTCCTTCCACCTCTAACTTGCTGTGAATAGATGGGACTAAGGAGGGCTTGGGGCTTCCGAGCTTGGGAGGGATGAGTGGAGTGGAATTGAAGACATTGGGTAGAGTCAGCTTCCCTGAAACAGATGAGAAGGAATGAAGAAAAGACAGAGAAAGGGAGAGTGCAAAGGAGAAAGACAGAAGGGAAAGAGATGGAAAAAGAAATGTTAAAACTCTACTGATGACTGGCCAGCCACCAAAAACAAAAACAAAAAAACAACTATACTAATAGTTATTAATACAGTGATCTTTCACTCACCCTGTAACTGGCGTCACATCAATAATCCCCACCACAGCTGGGACAGGGGTAATTTCTCTGCCCTACACCAAACCCTGCCCCTTTACAGAACATTCTGAGCACATACAGGCTGCTTATATCCTTAGGGATACCTTCTCTGTGCCTCACCCAAGGCTGAAAAGATTAACAGTCAGTCACATAGTGCTTGGGGTGAAGAGTGGAGATGCAGAGAGTCAGTATCATGTCCCTAAAGGTGACACACTGGTGAGAAAGGGGAAGTCTTTCTACTCAAAGGAGTCTACTGAACCTTACGCAACCCTAAACTATAGCAAAAAGGTCTTGGGAAAGACTTCCTGTAGTCTGGAGAGTGGAAATGTATGTCACAGGGACTTGAATCAGAGACTGGTTCTGATAAGTAACTTCGGATTAGAGGCACGAAAAGCACTCCCCACGAATTCTTCCTGTAAGCTTCTTTTGGCAGCTGGAATTGAAATAGCAACTTCTCCTCAGTTCGCCTTCGTTCCCAAAACTACCCTAACCCACAGATATTCTCTTGCCCACAATTTATGTGGAATAGGAAAATGCTGGTTATTGATTTACATTAAAAAAAAAAAATAACTCCCTCTACATTCACCTACCTGTGAGTGTGTTCTTTATGTCTATTCCCACCTAGGTCATTTTAGATGTGAACACTGGACCTGTTTAGCCTGCTCTCTACCAGCTCTAAGCATCGAGTCAAACATTGATAGACATTTAATTAACACTGTGGATAGTAAATCACAAAAAGCCACAAACACTGCCCTCTAGAGAAATCTTCCTTCAATCTCCTTGTTCTTCTTCCCCTGAATAGTTAGGTGAGAAACCAGGAGAAATTAAACTAGGTAGAACTCTTGTCTTCTCTCTAGCTTCCTCCTAACCTGAGACTATGATTCCTTCTTATAAATCTGTAGGAATTTGGGGCTAGGGGAAGGCCTGGGAGATGAGGTCGAGGTACATTGAAGTTACTGAAATAAAGTAAGCCTAGTCACCTAAATTGATCATCTTCCTGATTCAAATATAATTTATGCTAGCTGCATCTCATTTACTTTTCCCCCCCTATATAAAGATGACCGGTGAGGGGATCTTAACCCTTGACTTGGTGTTGTCAGTACCACACTCTCCCAAGTGAGCCACTGGCTGGCCCTCATTTACATGTTGTTAATTTAGAATCAGAGTAGCAAAAATTCCCTTCAGGCCTTATACTTTTTTCCACCTCTTTCTCCTTTCTTCCTCTTCTCCCAAGTGACACTTATGGTGAGCCTTGAAACAGATGCCAGAGCCTGGGAAAGTTAAAAAAGCAGGGCTCGTTTCTAATCTTTTTTGTCCAGTGCCAGAAATGATCAATAATTAAGTGGGGGCTGGTCAGCTAGCTGGCTTGGGGGATGAGCCAAAAGAAACCAGGAACTGGACACCTGAGCGAGTGGCGTCTCAGAGAAATTGTGCAGAACTACGTGGGCTAAGTCTTAAGAGGCAGGGGCAGGAAATGTCACGGAAGGTTTCTACCCTACAAGATATATTCCTGGTGGGGAGGGCATGGAGTATTTCAGAGTAGGAAAGGACGAGGGGGAGGATACTCAAACAAATCAGGATTTCATTCTTTTCCGCCTCTTGTCTCAGCTCAAGTCCTACACTTTCTCTCCAGCTGGAATTATCCTATGATGGTGGGTGAGGGAGTTAAAATAGCCCTGGCCCCTCCTAGTTAGTAGCAGTTGGAAGAAGCATATAAAATAGGCATGTAGCTTGAAGAAGACACTCCTCCTCTCCCAGGAACCTTCCTTTCCCCAGAAGTCCCTTACCGTCCCATTCCAATCTCCTTCTCGATCTGACCCAAATCTTCATGCAACCAATGATTTAGATTTCCCCCTCAGAATAAGTCAAACAGCACCACAGTGCCCTGTCTACCTGCTCACAGGGAGAGGGGGAGGGTTTCATTACAATGAGGAAATGAAAGAACCAAGCATCCCGTTTACACATTCCTCCTGCCTTAGCACCTCTAAGCAATTCAGACTTGTAGAGACCAAAGAGGGGAGGACAGTCAAGTGTCAACTCCCGAGAGCCGGAGAGGAAAAGAGAGAATGAAGATGGTTAAAACAAAGTTTTTACCTTAAAGAAGTGGGTGATGTTCCAGGACTGAGAAGGAGGGCTCAGCTCTGGCCATTCAACAGGGGACGTGGGTACAATGAGGGGCACCACCAGGGCCAGCTGCTTTCCGGCTGCCAGCGCCAGCCAGTGCTTACACAGGTTTACACAGGTTTACAAGCGGCGGTCCTGGCTGTGTCGTGGCCACTTCCGGACTCACGCCCAGGACTGGGGGCACTGGAGGGGGGTGAGGGCAGGCAGAGGCGCAGCCCAGGTGCTCCAGGGTCGCTCAGAGCGTCTTCAGGATTCCTGAGTCGCTGAGTCTGGGGCGTGTGCTCCAGGCCCTGACTACAAACTGGTTTTCAAAGGAAGTTTGTGGTTTTTCTTCTTTCTTCTTTCTCTCTCTCTTTCTCCCATCGGGACAAAGAAAAATTAGTCGAGGACAAGCTCTCTGGAGGAGGAGGGGCCTGCCCAACACTGGAGGATTTCCATCGGGGCTTTCTGACCCGGTCAGCAGCTGGGTGATCAGCAGAGAGCAAGAAACAAGGAGAGAGAAACAACAGACCCTTTCTCTTCCCGCTGCCTGCCGCTGGAAGGGACGGAGCGCTTGTGCCTCTCTGGTGAGAACAGGGAAGAGCAAGTGCCCTTGCTGAGTGGGCAGGAGCAGGGCTGGACAGCAGCAGCTTGTTGGAGCTGGGCTTTCTCCCCAGGTATGGCAGTCTTTTGCTCTGGATCCACAGAAGCAGGGCCAGAGAGCATATCTGCATATCTACTCATTTAATGTAAAAAATACTACTAATAAAATAAAATCCTGTTCCTTCCTCTCTGGAGCCCTGAGAAGGCTCTTTTCCAAGTTCTCGCTGTTATTTTTTTAGTCTAGAAATGAAACTGGCTGGTCTCTGCCCCTGGAAGTGCATAAAAGTTGTGGATAAAGCCCCAGGCCCTGGGAAGAGCACAGCAGGGAGAGAACTAGCCGAGCCGGCAGGAGCTGCAACACTCCTGTGCTCTCGGTTTTGTTTCAACCATAGGTCTCAGCTTCTCATCAGTCATCTCCTCTCAATTTCCAGCTTGGGAAGAAGGAAAAGTGGGTGTGAGGTTGATGGTAGGAAATAAAGGATTAATAGATAAATAAAGGGTTAGTTAATGAGGGAACAGTTGATGATGAGGGTACATTTATTTTAAGTACTCTGCACTGCCCAGGGGCTGGAGAGTGGCAGTTAAGGGAGGTTGGAACCTAACTCAACATTCTGAAGGGTCCTCCAAGTTCTACTTACAGGACTGCCATAGGATAAAACTTCAAGCAGCTCTGAAGACTGAGAAAACAGCTGGAACAATTAGGCAGCGAGCAAAGAGCCAAGGTTATAACAGTCCAAGAAAGGAATGAGGAGACATTTGCCCGGGCTGTAGAAAAAACAGTCTACAGAGTTAGAAAGGAAGAAGCAAAAGGAGTTTGGCAAGACACTGTAGATATCAAGCAAAGGGGTCAAAGGTTACTCCAAAGTTTTTTTTTTACTATGGACAACCACAAAATTGGTGGCAATAGGTCAGTTTGGTAAAGGAGAGAATTCGAGAAAGGAAGCTGAAGAGCGGTTTTGCCATGTGTGGTTGAAGATGTCAACCTGATGCTCAGTGTAGTATATGTTAAGATGCTATACTTAGCCTGATCTGAGAGGGAAAGTTCAGATGCCACAAATGGGTTTCTGTAACACATACACATTTGTGTTATCAAATGAGTGATCCCTCAGAAAATCCTCCTTCCCTCAATTATGGACATCTCGGAGCTTCTGGACTACGTTTCCCAAGACGCCCTGCGCCACGCCCTCCAGTGCGCCTCCGGAAGACATCCCGTGAGTCTCCGGGCGCAGAACTCCGCCTCCGCCTCTGGGGGCGGGGCGACGTCGGACTCCAGGAGCGCCCGATTACGCATTTCCTCCCGGGGTCGGAGGCCGATTTTCCTTGTGGCGGGTTCGAGTCCCGCCTCCTGACTCTTGCCTCTAGCTCCTGAGTCTTGGGCAGGGTGCATGAGCAGCATAACCTGTCCTAGACGAGGTTCGACGGTATATCTTGGGCTTCGCCATGGAGGAGTACCTGCAGGGTTGTCGAGCTGCTCTGCAGGTAACGAATCTCTGTTGGTGACTGTAAAGAATGGAGCATGGGGTCCAGGGAGGACTAAAATGTGGTGTTGGATCTGAAGAGCCACAACGGTCCGTGTGGAGCGAACACCGAGTTGTGGGGAGGGGGCTTGTGGTCTGATCAGGTTTGGGGTATGAGGACCGAGAACCTAGCTTACGAGCGCGAGAATGTGCTCAATCTCCCCGTTTTGGGCTCCCCGCCTTTGGGATCTATCTGGCGGAGAGCGGGGAGGAATCTTGGGCCTGGGTCCTGTATTTGAGCCTTGCTTGCTATCACCTGGGGGGTCAGTTCCGTCAAAAGGGCCAGACCTCTGCCGCCGCCAGTGTGTCCCGCGAGGTGTGTTTATTCCTTTCTCCCCGCCCCTGTTTCAGTTCTCCCCTCCCAAAGCCTCTCTTGGCCTTCTGGCCTGCAGGTGAACCTCTGGGGTGTGGAGGGAACCTGTGCCCACCGCTGTATTTCCTCTGGACGGCGGTTTCTCTTTGACAGGCTGAACTCATTTCCAGATTATAGGCGGTCGTGGTGTTTTACCTTGAATCAGTGTTTTTAAGCCAAACATACGGAATACATTGGGCATGTCTGTTGACCCACAAACTGCATTCCTTTGCCTCCAGGTTTCTCCCTTGGCCTTAACACACACAAATTACATAAAACTCCCCGCACAAAAGGGATAGCACAAAATGTGTTTGGAATCAAAACTATAAGCATGACTCCTGACAGATTTGTGATTTATTTTTGGTTCTCTCTGAGCCTGCTGGACTCACACAGCTGCTGACTGGTCATGCAGCATTATTAGGCTGTTATCCCTAGTTACCAGCAAAGCTAGTCAGAGAGAGGCTAGAAGGTCACCTGCCCCCTCTGCTTTGAGTTACACACGCTGCCCCTGAAGAAACCTAGAGAGATGGCTGACTATACCTTCCTTTTTAAATTTCTTAAAACTCTACAAATTCTCCTAGGTGATAGATCCTGATGTTTAACAAATCATAAAGTAACCTCATTCCTGCTGCAGACTCAACTGCTGGGATAAAATGAATGTCCTCATTGAATTAGAATGAAAGTTCAATTTTAACACCAATTACACCAAATTTTTCCTTGTGAAAAAAATATTGGGGAAAGTTGTCTTAATGCATAAGGCAAGGAATACATTAGAGGACTAATGTAGAGTTTTTAGTGACACCATTCTAAGTGCTGAACAGTTGGATCCCGGCCCCCGCCAATAACCTAAATGACTGTTTTCTTTCGTACCATTTGCTAAAGAACCCTTAAACCTGAAACTTTGCCAAATAGTATTTCTTTGTATGTGTCTTCTTTCCGCCATTTACTCTAAAAGCCCCCGGCCCACCCAGATTAACATAACAGTGTCATCTACAGCGTTATGAAGCTGCAAAAATACTTGATTTTTCTAGTATTGCTGGTATCCTGACCTTTCTCTCCTTGCTTTCATCCCCCAAGGAGCAAGCTCTAGATCTTCTTTTCCAAACGTGTAAACTTGTGAGGGTGAAATTGTATCTTAGAGCTCTCATTATTACACAGCCTCTCCAGGGCCTGGAGAAATGAGAAAATTAGACACTAGGGATGTTACCTGGTGAACTGGTAGGTGGACAAACTGGGCAATGCCAACAATTTAGATTGCTTTTAATTATAGAAGTAGTAAATGCTCATAGTGGAAAAATTTAAATACAAAAAGTGTATGACATGAGAAAGATAAAGATCCTTTTTCTCCTCTCCTCTCTCCATCCAATTCCCCAGAGGCCATCCTGTTATGTTTCTTATGTAAAGGGAGATATGATTTAGACACACCATTAAATTTGAATGTTTCTGTTAGACTATACTTTAGCCATAACTTTCAGGGAATTGTGAATGCTTGGCTTTTGTACAGAGTAGGGACAGCTGATAATCCAGCCAAGTCTCCTGTTGATACCATATTTTTAGCATTTGATACCAGAGGAATTTTCTACAGCCTCTGCCACAATGACAATAGGATGTTCTATTTGGAAGAAATCCTGTTTAACTAAATTTCCTATTCATGGTGACTCATCTTTCACTTCTAGTCGCCAAGTCTCCTGTTGATACCATATTTTTAGCATTTGATACCAGAGGAATTTTCTACAGCCTTTGCCACAATGACAATAGGATGTTCTTTTTGGAAGAAATCCTGTTTAACTAAATTTCCTATTCATGGTGACTCATCTTTCACTTCTAGTCGGGAGAAATATTTGCTTCAAGGTGGAGCTGCATTCAAGTTTAGGTGTTCACCCAGGAGCTTTTGGATAATGTATTGTGTACATTTCTCAGGCATAAAGCAGGAATCAGGAGTGGCTGGCATTCTTAGCAATTTGCATCAGTATCAGTACTATTTTCTCTGCTGGGAGGACTTATCTACCTCTGGCTCTTTGTCTTGTTCTCTCTCTCTCTCTCTCTCATTAACTGTTTTGTAGAGTAGTTATCAGACCATGTTCAGCTCATAAAGGGAAGTGGTTTCCTTTGCCAGCCCTAGAACTCCCTCTCTACACCCTATTAAGGTCACAAAGAAAACATCAGGATAGGAATAATTTCAACTACTGGTTCTTTTTTTTCTTAGAGAAAAAAAGTTTCTATTTACTTTTGGCTCTCAGATTGTATTTCTTCCATTGACAGCTCAGGTTTCCTCATGCTGCTAAGTATAGCTATATTTTCCCTGAACTCTTCCTCTGGTGGTCAGAAACTGAAGCTGTTTGGCTTGTGCATTCAGCTGGTGGCAGATGGGGTGGGGGTTAAGAGTTACACATGTATTTCCAAAGTGAAGAGGAGAATGGTGCCTTATAAGTTACGCAGCCATACACTTGGTTTGCCCAGGACGGGCTTAGTTTTTCTCCAGCATAATCATTAACAGTGTCCTTTTTCATTCTCAAAAGTGTCCCAGTTAGAATAACAAAGTCTATAAATCACCCAACTCATAAACTATGTTAAGGCCATGAAGAGACAGTGAGCTCCTCAAAATAGAAGTTCATTTCCATCCAAGAGCCACAAGTGCTGGAAGCTGGAGTTTTAGAGGAAGAGGATTGCCCTGGCTTGGGTGATCTGGAAGGCTTCACAGAGAAAGGGGGATTTAGGGAGGACTTGAATGGCTGCGGGGGTGGGTAGAGAAAGAAGAAGATGGAAGGGATTTCATCTTTGCCATTTACAGAGTAGGCACTTACGTACTATCATTTAATCAGAACAACTTCATGAAATTGGTTATGGTATTATACCCATTTTTATATAAGGAAAATGAGGCTTAGGGAGGCCGAAGTCCCACAAATAAGAAGCAGAGCTGGGATTCAACCACAAATCTATGATATTTTCAAGTAGCTGTTATGCTGCTCTCAGAGAAGAAAATGGTGCAAAGTGCAGAGCTGGGAATGTGCACATCATGGTCTGCGGGTGGTGAATAAATAGTCCAGTCATGCTGGGGTGATGGTGGGTGCTGACAGGGGAAAGGAATGCTACCATCTCCTTTGG